GTTTGAGCAGGCGTATGTGCAACAGCTAGAATCAAGTAGGATAAAGCTTTCCCAATTGGAGCAAGAACTTCAGCGAGCTCGTTCTCAGGTTGAAATTGAAACATTTCTATTCTTATAATCTTACATGATCTGCTAAATAATTGATCCTAGTTTGTCAAAACCTGTCAATTGTAAAGTTTCTTAATTGATTATTGGTCATTAAAAATGTCTGTTTGTGGAATTTAATATATTGTTTATGTCGATGGTAGGGGCTGTTCATGGGTGGTTGTGGACCACCAGGACCTAACATCACTTCCGGTACTTGAAACCTAAAACACCAATTGCAGTGTATTATTGTATTAAAATTATTCACCAATGATTGAAATTATTATTAACAATATGTTAAAAAAAACGTACGTTCGTAGGAGCTGCAATATTTGACATGGAATATGGGAGATGGCTAGAGGATGATAACCGGCATATGTCGGAGATTCGAACCGGTCTTCAGGCTCATTTATCGGACAATGATTTAAGGTTGATCGTTGACGGTTACATTGCTCATTTTGATGAGATATTCCGATTAAAAGCCGTGGCCGCAAAAGCCGATGTTTTTCACCTCATCATCGGAACATGGATGTCCCCAGCTGAACGTTGTTTTATTTGGATGGCCGGTTTCCGTCCATCCGACCTAATCAAGGTTTGAATTCTTCTTTTTTTTTCCACCATTATTTATGTCTCGATCATTCCGAACGTAAGGTATATATAGGTTTTGCGTTTGAACACATGTTAACTTTTCAAAAAGAAAATAATATTCACGTTAGTAAATTACATAAAAAATAGAGCATTGCTGCAAAATGTAAATGGAAATGAGTTTTTCTTCGGTTTACGTGTACAAAAAAAAAACTTGTGATTAAAACACAAAAAGTTGTGGAATCATTACTAAGTAACTAAAAGAAAGGGATGTGATCTCAGATATTGGTGTCGCAAATGGATCTATTGACGGAGCAACAACTGATGGGAATATATAGCCTACAACACTCGTCACAACAAGCAGAGGAGGCTCTCTCGCAAGGCCTCGAACAACTTCAGCAATCTCTCATTGATACTCTCGCCGCATCTCCAGTCATTGACGGAATGCAACAAATGGCTGTCGCTCTCGGCAAGATCTCTAATCTCGAAGGCTTTATCCGCCAGGTTCCATTTTCTCACCTATCTTTTTTTTTTTTACTTCATTTGCTTTCATCCAATTTTATATTCGTATATACTATTAGTCTATATACACTAACACATGCAATTGCAAAGGAGGAAAAAACACACCGTGTCGAATATACACAAAATGTTTGACTAAACATTTTACTATATATCTTTAAAATATAAAAAATTTTGGTTTAGAGTTATAAGAATGGCGAGATTTCGAATGTGTTTCTCCGGAATATGTTAAAGTAAAATTTAACGTTCTGGGAGCAAATATACTAGACGTACAAATTTTTAAAATGCGGAAATACGTGCGTATATATTTGCGTACATATATGAACAAAACGTATGTGCTGGCTAAATTATATAATTGAAAAAAACAAATAATTTGATCAAATGTTGCTTTCACGTATTGTCTGTTTCTGGATTAGTCCGATTGGCCATGTCTTTCCAATTCTTTTTTTGCCGCTATTTTTCTCATGTCATATAGTAATATATGTTGTTTTGGCCTTTAATTTAATTCTTCCAAGAGCCAAAATTTCTTTCACCAACTTGTTTTTATATATTAAATCGCTGAGAAAAACAAAGAGAATATGTTAAAAAGTATTCTCCATCTCTTTCAATGTTTTGTTTTGACTCAAATTGATTTTTTTTTTCATATCAATTACAAGTTATTGACTTTTGTAATATCAATTAGCCCACCAAGGTAGTAAGTAGGTGTGCAATAATGATTATTAATAATCTTATCAAAAGAAATAGTTAGACCAGTTTAAAATGTCAAAAGATAAATTGTGATTACGAACTGATTTTTTTCTCTTTCTTTTGTTAAATCTAAATGAAGGCTGATAACTTGAGGCAGCAGACCGTTCACCAGCTGAGGCGGATCCTGACCGTCCGACAAGCCGCACGGTGTTTCCTAGTCATCGGAGAGTACTATGGACGGCTCAGAGCTCTTAGCTCCCTTTGGTTGTCTCGCCCACGAGAGTAAGACACATTTTAATGCATATTAACATTTCATAGATGTATAATGCTAAATTATGAATTTGATTTCGGGAATGATTAATGTTAATAGGACACTGATGAGTGATGAAACATCTTGCCAAACGACAACGGATTTGCAGATTGTTCAGTCATCGCGGAACCACTTCTCCAATTTCTGAATGAAATGGAACTTTGATAACTAAATGGCCAAGTTTCATTGTCTGTCTTAATTTCACCTATTTCCCCTTTAAGTTGTACTAGAAAAGATAGGATCTTCTTTTGGCATTTTTCTTTTTAATTATAGTTTTATGCTACTATGGAATTAACGTACCACGTAAATGGGAACCGATAATTTATGTCTCCAAGAAAAATGAGAAAAAAAAAAAAAAAAAAACTAAATGGTTTCAAGTTTCAACTTTCAACCCATATAACTATTTTTAGAAGAGTGTTCTTGTACTCTTTTATCTCAACTCTTAATAAGACTACCATTATCTATGGGCTCTTAGCCAAATCTTAAGGTAAGATTTGTGAAGAAAAAGCTTAAATATAAACCTAAGAGCATGATTATAGGTAGTTTCTTAAGAAAATCTTAAGATTATGTTAGCATTTAATTGATTATATTTATTCCCAAAAGTGCTTTTAAGCTAAGAAGTGTTTCTTAGCTAAGGAACAAAAAAAAATGCTAAGAGGTGGAACAAAAAAAATACTCCCTCTGTTTTCGAATAATTGTCGTTTTAGAGCATTTTTTTTTGTTTTAAATTAGTTGTCGTTTTAAGGTAATAATGTAACTTATGCCAATAACTACCCAAATTACCTTCATTTAATTAAAGACAAATTATTTATAAATAATTACTTGTCATTTTTATGAGGTTAATATAGTCATTGTATACCTTTTCTTAATTTGTCTAAATACAGTTAAAACGACAACTTAAAAAAAACAGAGAGAGTATTACTTAAATATTTTTAAGAAGTATTATTAAGAGTCCTTGGATAATCATGCTCTAAAAACTCTTATATAAGAACTCTTTCTTTACAAATCTTAACTTAAGATTTGGTTAAGATTCATCTAAGAGCCCGTAGATAAAGGTGGTCTAAGTGATATATACTCTTTTTTTGCCTCCGTGGACCTAAGCGGCTAAGCCTATATATACTCTTTTTTGCCTCCGTGGACCTAAGCGGCTAAGCCTATCAATGTGAGAAGCACTTGATGCAACCCATATATTGAGATTAACGGGCCTTAGCTGGGCCACTCGCTTCTTATCATGAAAGTTCGTGGCCACTCCCTTAGCTGGGTCAATCTCTTGGACGAAAGAAGAAGTTTTCTTCTCTTCTCTTTGAAAAGAAAGATCTGGAGAGGATGATTTCGTCGTACCGATCAAGTTTTCCTATGGAATAAACATTTGACATATGTTCGTGGATAAAGAAGTACAATTCTAATTAGAAAAAGACAAAAGTTGTACCTTTTTGTTGACGAAAGAAAAAGTTAAGACCTTTAATTCCCACTTATGATGATTGATATTGTTGATGACTCTTTCATTCTTGTTTACTCTTCCAAAGTCTTTAATACAACAATATCATTAATACAAGTGGCTTTGTTCATAGAAAAAAAAGTCCAACTTCATCATCCAATAGAAGATAATTAGGTTCTGAAGATAACAATAATAAACAGAGAAAAAAAAAAAGAAATTCCATCATTCATCAAAATCTTCTCAATGGAAACAGCAAAGCGTAGAACGATGTCAACAATCGTCTCCAAGCTCAGCTCTGTCTCTGAGCAAACCAGAGCCGCTGCTTTAGCTGAGCTTAGACTCATCTCCAAACAAGATCCTGATAGCCGTCTTATCATCGCCGACGCCGGAGCTATTCCGTACCTCGCTGAGACTCTTTACTCTTCCTCTCACTCTTCTCAGGAAAACGCCGCCGCGACTCTCCTCAACCTCTCAATCACCTCTCGCGAACCCCTAATGTCTTCACGCGGCTTACTCGACGCGCTTTCTCACGCGCTTCGCCATCACGACACCACCACTTCCCCCGCCGCGGTTCAATCCTCCGCCGCCACGATTTACAGCCTTTTGATCACCGAAGAGTCTTACCGACCTATCATCGGATCTAAGCGCGATATCATCTTCTCCCTCATTCACATCATCAGATATGCAGATTCGCATCCTCGTTCGATCAAAGACTCGCTCAAGGCACTCTTCGCCATCGCTCTCTATCCGATGAATCGATCGACGATGATTTCACTCGGCGCGATTCCTGCTCTGTTTTCGCTGATCGTGAAGGATTCACGGAGCGGGATTGTGGAAGATGCGACGGCGGTTATGGCGCAAGTCGCTGGGTGCGAAGAGAGCGAGGAAGGGATGAGGAGAGTTTCAGGAGCTAACGTTCTCGCGGATCTGTTAGATCCTTGCACTGGATCGAGCCTACGGATCAAAGAGAACGCCGTTGGTGCGCTTCTGAATCTGGCGAGATGCGGAGGCGATGCAGCGAGGTCTGAAGTTGCCGCGGCGGTTGCGTCTGGTGCTGATGAAGGAGCCATGGAAGGGATCGTGTACGTAGCCGAGAATGGTAGTGTGAAAGGAAGGAAGAAAGCGGTTGATCTGTTGAAGCTCGTTGTCTCCGGCAATGGCGGCGGCGATTCACGTTTTGATTATTTGCTCAATGAAAATCCAAATAGCAGAAGCAGCTGATTGTTTGACTAATCCATTCATTGATTCAAACACTTCATATTATACATATATCTATTGTTATTGTACACTTTGAACATACTTTGTTTTGTAGAAATGAATCAATCAATCAAACACATAACTCGTTACAAATCAAATTCTATTGTACATGTTTTCATCAAATGGTGAGTTCAAGAATTTGGTTTTTACAGCTTTTCTTGTTCTTCCTCGAGCAATAGTGAGCGTAAAATCGCATCGCAAATGCCATCATAGTGTATGATCAGATGTCCGCCTTGCGGGATTTCGTGGTAGTTAATCAAAGGTTGTTTCTGCAGAATGCATCTTTGAAGTTGAAATGGAACAACTTTGTCTTCCTTACCATGCCAGATGTGAATATAGCTCTCTTTACTAATGCTTAGGTCTGCGGGTTCGAAGTCCCATTGCCCGAAACAAGCCATGATATCGTCCCTTAGAGTATCGAAAACATTTCTTTCCAGTAGCGAATCCTATATATAATTATGTCCGGATTGGTCAAACACTACAAATTGCAATACAAGTTGGATCGACAAAACTAGGAGTGACCTTAGTAAGCATGGGAAATCCGGTTGTTCGCTTGAGCACTTCTATGTCGTGGCTGTTGAAGTAGACCGGATTGCTTTCAAGGACTGAACTAGTTGAAGGGAAAAGCTTTTGAATTACCCACCAATGTAACAGTCCAGGTGCATATTTGGATATCCTCAAACCCCATTTGATTATACCTCTCCTATAATCTTTTTTGATTAGCTTCTTAGGAAGCGAGGGCCACCGATAATTAACCACCGGAGCAACAAAAGCCACGCCGGATAGCCTGCAAAGACAACGGAATACTCAATAGTTACTTAACTGTTCACAACTTATCCTTAAGGGGTTTCAGGAATGGTTAAATTGCCTGTACGGTATATGTTTTAGGCAACCCCAAGTAGGGTAAGATCCCATGGAAATTCCAATTAGATAAAACTTAGGTCCTAACTGCAGATGATCTGCAAGTTCTACTATGTCATCAACTTCGCTTTCCAACGAACGTTTCGTGTTTGAATCTGATTCTCCATATCCAGAACGGTCGTAGAATAGCAAGTACACCTTCAGTTCTTCTATCAGCTCCTGAAACACTAAATCCAAGTGAGGTTTTCCCATTCTTTGTTTGTTTTAAGGATAACAAAGATAACATCAGAGGCTTTTAAAACATCCAGACAAGATATAAAGCATTTTTACTTTTGAGGCGGAGAAGTTCATATCTTTGGAGCTTCCAAAGCCATGAACAAGAATGATCTTGTATTTGGCCTTTTCCTTTGGAACTCCTCTTTCTCTGTAAGCTAAGAATCTCCCATCCCGAAGCTTAACTCTATTTGAACTAGCCGAAGAATCCCCCATCTACAGTAATTAACTACAAGAAGACACAGATCCGTTAGTGACTGATTTGTGATACTAGACAATATGAATTTGGGTGTGAAAGTGGCAACAACAAAAAAAAAAAAAGTCTCAGGACAAACCAAAGGAGAAAATAATTGCTTTGAATTTGGGAGGAACACAAAAACGGTATGAATGGTCAAAGGTCTGATCTTTATGTGAACTAGATGATTGATAAAGAAGATGGCTACTTGAAGAAAAAGCAAGTAGCCTCGTTGGTATATTGAATTTGAAGGAATAAAGAATTAAGCAAAATATTCCTCTTCTGATGCTTTTGGATTTAAACCATTCTTCAGATTTGATCCTTTAGTTGTCTTAGTTTACATCTTTGTAAAACTCCAGACGCCACTGCCAAACTCACCTATCTCAGTCTTGTTTCTCCTACAAGTTATGTACATGCATAACTGTTGGTTTTTTGGGGAGGATTTTCGAATATTCCTTATGGATGCCATGTCAAATGACCGGTTTGAATTTGGAAAAGGTCCTACTCTACCCAAATTTCGGATGTTGAAACAAAAAGACTTTGAAAGAATTTGATTTTAAAGTTAATAATTAAAAACCATTATTGTAAAATCCGGACATGGCAATCTCATCTAGTAAATAAATGGACACCAAAGAAACAGAATTGGGTTTAAAACGCAACATTGACCTCGTTTCGCTGGTTAGGCATGAGAATCAATAACCGGAGGTGACCGTCTTGGCATAATTTGACAAGGTTCCTATGTTGTGTGAGGATGGCATTACTGTTGCCTAACAAAACATGAGCTATAACGTAACACTCTCCTTTCTCATTTGCAAATTGCCATTCCCTCATCGTCAAATTGAAATAGTCTTTCCGTGTGGATACAGTTGCTTTCACCTCTATGTACTCTTTCTTACCGCCTCGGTTTTCGATTATCAGGTCGTAAGGTAACCCGGTTTCGCTCTGCTCATTAACCCATCTAACCAGAGCCGTCTTACCGTATTTTGCAACAAAGTATCTGTAAGCGATTTCTTCACCTTTTCTACCTGTCTCTTGCGCCTGTGCAGCCCAAAGTGCCCCGGTGTGAAGCTGATTTCTTATGCTGAAGTCAGTTGAGACAGGATTGTTCCATTCATGAACAAGATTCCCTGACATTAAACCTCTCTTCATATGCATATTAGCTCGTGAACTTGTGCCTGCACGATCATCGTATCCAGCAACCAAGTTTATATCTGTGATCTCAGTCGGTATATGTTCCTCAAGAGCCTCTGTTACAAGCTCCTTCTGAACAACAGGGGAAAAAAATTGAAGTCACTACTCTATTACTGCAAACATCTGCAACGTTATCCTTCCACAAAAGGAAATGAAATGATCAAAGATAAGAAAAACGAAATAAATATTCCCTGAAAGACTGAAACAGATTTCCCACTAAAACAACAATATTAACAATATTTGAAGAAAGACAATGCAGTAATTCTGGAACACTGAGCTAGAAGCTTTTTGCACAAGACTCCGAACCAGGCTAAAAAAAGACAGATGATACAAACTCCATGTCAAATTCAGGTGTCCAAGGAAATAGTGAGGGAAATTTTCATAAATGCAACCAGGTTTCAGTTTCAGACATTCCTTTACAGATATCAAAAAATAGAATCTGAAACCTGAGATCTTGGAAGGTTTTCATTAATTATTTAAGAAGAAAACAGGTGGGGACGAATTGGGGACTGGAGCAAACAAGGGCGCAACCTTTATCCTTTTCAGCCTGCCTCAGTGACATAGTGATGCCCACAAGCAGAATCAAAGAGCAAAGCTGAACTAAGGAAGCTTTTACATTTTCTAACTCAACTCCAAGACTTTGCAACTGGGTGCTAAGTCTCAGCATAAGAGGAGGGAGGCTTGAACCACACCTGAAAAAAATGAGCACAAGAAGGAACAGAAAACCAACAGTTCTAAATTCAGAAATTTCCTCAAAATTTGAAAAGGAGGTATCACAAAAATAGTGAGCCTGTGCTACACAGTGAAAAAATCAATTTCAACTTGGAAAAAAATAACAAAGGGGCAATAAAGCAAAGAAAAGGTAGGCAACTGGAAGAGTGGATTTAAAAAAAAAAAAAAGAAAAAAAAAAGCAAACTGGAATAGTGGAGTAGAAAATAAGTATGGATGTAAATTGGAATAGCAAAGGTGAAACTATCTCACAGCGACATGTAGTAATCCAAAAAATGGAAATGATGACATCGCTTTAGCTCTTTTAATCTGAGCTTGTACTTCGGATCCCCCTAAGTTGTAAAAAGACAACAATTTCTTCACAAACTACAAAAATAAAAGAGTGTTAGAGAATAAAAAACATACAGCCTCACCACTCCTCGCTTAAGATAATTCACTGTCAAATTCAAGCAGAGCGATTTATACCTGATATATAATTCAAACAGTCTCTTGATATACTCAACACAAACTTACCATTGACATGCTTAGCTCTTTACATGTATCCTTCCAAGTTGAAATGAACAATCTCAAAGCTCCTTCAGAAAGTGTGAAATCAGCCTCATTGCCACTGAAAATCTGCTTAGCATCAGAATCATCCGCCAAGTTATGTATCTCTTGTTTCACATGTCCTCTATGTAATTTAGAGGGGTATCTTCTACGCAGTTTGGACAAATCAGATTTTTCATGGCTACGACTTTCAGCCTTCCTTTTTTTATTGGAGCTCACAGGCTGCTTCATCTCTTCTGCAACGGATGGATATGGGCAACTACTGAATTGGTCACAACTATTAACATTTTCGACCTCATAATCAGCACTATCATTGTCCTCCGAGCTCAATGAATTAAATCTTGTATGCTTGCCACAATAATCTTTATCTTGCTGTTGTTTCTTTGATGGGAGGATGTGATACTTCTGATGCAGTCCAGTCAGCAAGATCTTCAATGTTTCGCCTTCTTGTCTCTTCGCGTTTTGAATGAAAGATACATACATCCTATAAAATGCATTAATCACATATAATCAGCTAATGCAGTTTATAACTAGGAATACGTAGAGAACTTAATCTGGTGATCTCTTACAATACCAGATTCGTCGTGAAAAAGTAAACAAGAGAACATATACAATCAATTACTACAATAAAAATAATGAGACCAGATCTCCTGCGGTAACAAATATAGAAACTAAGAACTGGACTGAGATCCATAGCAAGTTTTTGAAAAAATATTAGGAAACAGTGGTATGACATGTATGTGCACAACCCAACTCCACTCAAACGACTATGAGCATGCAGATAAGAGTTATTCCTTTCTACGAAATACACAAATATACAACCAGAACACATCACTGAAATTCCAACCATCAATCCACTACTTGTAACAGACTCTAATTTCTACATAAAAAAAAAAAAAACATCAACAGAGTTAATTCATAGACAAAATATCATACTGATTAAATAAATTGGTGGATTTTTGAAAAGAAAACTATATAACCAGCCTAATATCATCATAATAACTAACTCATAAGCAAGTTAAAATAACCCAAGAAACAATGTCATACCGCAAGCTCTGAATACGGACACCAAGCTTGTCCTTGCTTGTAACTGCTTTTTCCTCAGCAACAAAATCCAGGAATTCATCGAGCTTAACATCGTCCATATCGTAAGTTTTTAGAAAGCTATCAAGAAATGAGATTAACTCCTCACTAGTGATTTGAACTGGGGCAGTAGAACCAGAGATGGATGGAAAATAGAGCAAGACAAGTGGATGTTGCAGCAAAGGTCCCAATCCCAGATCATCAAAACAACCAACGAACTCGTTACGGCATATTGCTACTTCCAAATCATGCAGAGTCACGATTCCTCTAGCGCCAATGAAGCAGTGAATAAAGGCAATGATCTACAAGACATCAAGTAAATAATGCACATAATTACTAAATATTCCAAAGGTATAAATAAAAAGGAATCAACTTTTGCAATAGATAGGCTCTGTTTGGTTTGCAATATAGAAAAGTTTCAAGCTTTACCTTGCCTTCAAGGGCCATGAGTTGGCGAAGCGAAGGAACATCTTGCATTTGTATCCCCAAGGAACGCCAAATATCATCAGCCTGAAGTTGTTCTAAAACTGATTGCGACACTCTAGTCGAAGAAACGTTCTCTCCAGCAGCAATTAGTGATTTACGCGTATTGTTGATGGCCTTATCAATTCGCATGACTTCTACATTAGCGCCACCGCCAAATTGTGGGTGAGTGAAGTTGAGATTCTGCTGAGTCTGGAAATTGTATCTGATGGGTTGTTGCTGGATAATGTAATTGGGAAACACACGAGTCGCTTGAGGAATATATCCTCCGTTTCCGTTGCCGCTTCCACCGTACGCGGAGGCGCGTAGTGACCACGAGCCGTCGCGATTCCCTTGCATTGGTCGGCGCGTAAAAACAAGGAAAAGAAAAGAAGGGTTTTAGATAGAAGAGTGAGTCTCTCTAGCTGATTCGGAGGGTTAGGGTTTAAGGTGAAACACCAGTTTTATTAATTTAGCATCTGTAATAATAAGTTATTTTCAAAATGTTTGTAACTGACAGATGAAAATATAAAAACATATAAATTTTTAACATAATTGTATTTGGTCAACAAAAGGGAAAAAACCCGAAAAATACCTTATCTATTTTTTATTTGGACGTTTAATACCTAACTTTTTTTTATTGGAAGAAAAATACCTTCTTTAATTATAATTGGTCGAAAAATACCTTATTTTTAAATTGTTGGTAGATTCAAACATCTGATTTAACGGTCGTTAACGGACATAACGATATCAGTAAACGACGTTAAATTATAACAGAAAAATAGCCGAAAAATACTCAATCTAATTATTTTTGGAATTTTAATACCCCAACTTTTTGGTTAGAAGAAAAATACCTCATGTAAAATATCTTTGTCTAAAAATACTTCATTTTAAATTATTAGTGGATTCAAGTATGCGACTTAACAATCGTTAACAATATTACAGAAACATTTAACAACGTTAAATATTAACCCTGTCTATATAAATAGATATATACAATTTATTTTCAAAATTTTACAAATATATTGGTGTGATCAAAACTCAATATTACTTCGTTAATACGATCAAAACTCAATCTTTCTCGAACCATTTCTTTCATCTCTCCACTTTTACCTAAATTCTTCTCCACTTCCGCAACTATGCTACTCCACGACCACAAAAATGACAAATCTATCGTCGTCGTCATCTTTGTCACAATCTCTCATTTGTTAGTTGCAGAATCGTTACATTCCATCATCAAAATGATGTATTTAAATTTGCAGAATCTCTCATTTGTTAGTTGCAAAACCCTTCTAACTCCAACGATGCCTTTAGGAATGAAAAATGATGTATTTAAATTTGTAGGAGTGAAGCAAATGATGTATTTAAATTTGTATGTCATTCATTAAAGAAAATAGGAGATCAAAAGAAGTTCTATGAGGGTTAAAAATCATATGTGTTACCATTAGATCAAGTAATATATTTGTAAATGTTTGTATAAATATTGTATATACTAACAATTCAAAAATGAGGTATTTTTAGACAAAAATATATTTAAATGAGGTATTTTTCTTCCAACCAAAAAGTTTGGGTATTAAAAATCAAAAAATAAATAGATGAAGCATTTTTCGGCTATTTGTTTTGTTATAATATAACATCGTTTACTGATACCATAACGTCCGTTAACGACCGTTAAATCAGAGGTTTGAATTTACCAATAATATAAAGATAAAGTATTTTTCGACCAATTATAATTAAAGAAGGTATTTTTCTTCCAACAAAAAAAAGTTAGGTATTAAACGTCCAAATTAAAAATAGATGGGGTATTTTTCGGGTTTTTTCCCGTCAACAAAATGAAAACTGTGCCTTTTTATTTCAGATACAAACTGTGAATAGTACGGTCCTACCAAAAAAAAAAAACTGTGAATAGTACGGAGTATTTTGTTATTGGTGAGTTGTTCAAACCCGGTTCACAAAATACGACCAGAAGGCAGAAGTATACCGTGTTTGAACCAAATGGGACGTGAATCATAATTCTTTAGTGAATGAAAACATACGGTTCAACGATTAGCTATAATACCATTCGGAAAATTTGGGGGGTTGATATTGTTTTAGGCTCCACCACAACATGACACATACATTGAATCAGCTTCTATTTTCGACTTGATGAATACTGACTGGTTCTTTTAAGTATTTTATTCTTCAGGTATTGACTTAATTGCGGTAACCTTTTTATTTTCAAAGAAAAATCTTGTGCTTATAGGTCAAAATTCTACTACCTCTTTCTCTACCAAATCTTACAACTCCTAAAACGGTAAAACCTAGCTCGTATATTATATTTAAAAACTTGAATCTAAATCTATATATATATATATATATATATATATATATATTCAATTTAAACTTTGCTTTATGGAATGAATATTTCTGCAACTAACTAGTATATTATTTCATTGTTTATTTAGCGGTGCAAACCAAAAGCCTCTCCCAAATCCCTCAAATTTCCATGTTAGTTTCGGCATATAGTACACAAATTAACGTAAAGTCGTTACAGTTTTTTGGTTCAACTCCTTCGTGTAGGTCATTTGAGTATTGTGTTTCAGTCTTTCTGACGCTACCGCGTAGATTGGAATGTCTAGTGCGACTGCTTTTTGGATTAATGTTAAGCTTTATTACTTCTGAATGACTGAATGAAAATATTTTCGACAAATTTAAAACGAGACTGAAAAATACGACCAAAGTAGTTTCATACTTTTTGAATTTAGTTTTCTATACCATTTGCAAACATCCGTGTGGTGTGTGGGCTGCCATATCAACTTTAGACCCGTGAACCCAATCATGCATCAAAGAATATAAGTGAACTAAGTTCCAAATATATATGTTGCTGATCGATAAATCATTATCATATACTAATATCTTTAAAATGCAAATCATGGATTAGAGTTCTAGCTAGAAAAGTCTTGCGTATGGAAATAGTGTGTATCTCATCAAATTCGTGTAATCTGCTACTTGGATCATCAAACGTCAATAAAAGTGAACGCGTGATTTTATATCAATTTGCTTTTTATCATTTGTCCCTAAAAAGACGGCTAAAATGATGTTGAAATTGTTGTTTTGATGTAATGATGAATTTTGTCTTCGCCGGTCTATATGCACTTAAAAGACAATTATGACTGTAAAATGATGAAAGGATATCGTATTTGTTGGTGTAAGATGTTACAAAAAAAATAATAATGGGAAAGGAAATGAGGGTAAAGGAGAAAAAAAAGACTATGAGTCTTAGGATTCTCTTTCATTGAAAAGCCTTGTGCTTGTGCGTTTCCTTTTCACTATATGAAGTAAGACCCACCACATTTTTATGAAGAAATTTACACTCTTTTTCCCTTTGATGTAAACACGTAGACACGTGTGATATCTACACTATACGTTTTGGGGTAGGAAAAATAAACAAAACTTTAAAGAAGAAGATTTTGTATTGGAGAAGAAAAAGGACAGAACCTATTTTGACGAACGGCTACGATACACACCAGGTAGGTTGATATATAACCTTTTCCTACTACTAATCTTACTTATCTTCGGGGGACGGAGAGAGAGAAAGACAAAGAGATGAGTTTGATGAATCCTTATAAGAAGGTTTTAAGTTTCGAATCCCCAAGCTTCATTGAATGGCTTAAACCTCCATCTTCTACTTCTTCTCAATCTATCTTATATCGTATGAAGACAAGAGATGCTATATCAAGATCAAATCACCACCAGAGTCAGATGAATATGTTGGAACCACTCAACACGTCTATTCAATGCTTGCCTCTCCTAAACAAGCTCATGGAAAATAAGAGTCGTCAAGCCTTGGATGATATTAAAGAAGAGAATAAGGATGATGTGGTTACTCTCCAAATCGGATTTCCTAAATATCACCGTGGTAGCTCGGATGATGACTCTGATACAACTTTCGATCATCAGAAGAAACCCATCAAGAGAGAGATAATAGAAGATGGTGTGGTGATGATGAAGAAGAGGAGGAAGATGAAGTTTGATGAGGAGATAACTGATTCTGATGTGGAAGTATGTGGGAAGAGGTTTTGGATACCAAGTCCGGCTCAGATTCATGTCGGTCCAATGCAATTTGCTTGCTCTATTTGCAGCAAAACATTCAATAGGTACAATAACATGCAGGTACGTCTTTTCTCTTATCACCTTTATCCTATATGATTTGTTAACTATCTACATTCAGCTACAAATATTGCATAATGTGTTAACCATTGTTACTATATGAATGGGTCATATTATCAAAAAAAAAAAACGTAATCACTATTATTATATCAACTTTACCTTTACCTTCGTCCATTTTCATAGGGTATTATTAATTCATTTATGGTTATTTTCCTATATAAGCAAAAAAAAAGTTAATAAATTCATAATTTTTCTTTTAAAGAAAAACAATTTTCCCTTCAAAGGAAAACTTACAAACAATTTTTTTTTTGTATTAAAAATATATCTTAAATTTTCAACAACACAATAACACATTAACTAACAACATCTTTAGTTTTTGAAAAAGGTAATTAACAACATAAACAAAAAGAAGTGTATGATCATGTATTCCGTAAATGTATTACACTTTGTGTATATACATGTTAAAGTAAACTTTTGATAATTGTTTATATAATTATATGTATGATCATATTTTCATATAAATTAATTCCTTCAATAGATCTTTCACTTCTTTTTGTGAGAAATTTGTTGTATATGTATATGATCATATATTATTGTATATACATACAGAATATTGGAAGTAATTTAATTTTTGTAATTTAAAGATTTTGAACATTGATGACTTAATTATTACGGTTATAATTAATCGCGGTTGGTGTATCATTTTTATTAAATAATAAATTAAGAGAAGGATAATTGCGTATATAACGTCTGGATTAGTTGAGAAATCTTCGAAAATCTTTTGACTTTTTTTCATTGTTTGCCTTGCCTTTTGGTTGAAAAGCCAAAAAAGCAAAAGAATAATCACGGAGTGGGATTTGGTAAAGTATAATTCAACAAGAAACAAAAAAGGGGAGAAAAATTAAAAAAGCAATGATCATACTACTTTTACTGAATATATGCAATCGATAACTTAACCTAATGAAGATTTTGGTAAAAAGCCTTCTAATTAAAGTATCATTGGTTTCTAAGTTTCTATATTTTACATAGGATTCTCTCCTTTACCATTTACTATAAATTTACTTTGGTCCCAACTTTAAGTCTTTAATTCGAAATTAAAATCACTAAACCAATACCTCTTGTTAAATAGAAAACACATTTTTCTTACATCATTTATGGTTTCTTATTAAATTTGTGATTATCTTATACTACGCGGTCAAAAGTTTTGTCAAATCATTTTATATCCGTTCCATTCCCAATTTCTACCGTGATGAATATAAGCACAATTTTATACATTTGTGGATTGATAAGTCTCATCCAATATGAAAATGCACTCTTGACTAGAACAAGCATTCGAGTCCTTGAACATAATGGAACGAGAACTGTCTCACAGCTCATAACTGTCGATTAGTATATCAATAATAGTAATATGATACTCCCTCCGTTTCAAAATATAAGACGCGCGTTTTAACTAAAAGTACGCCGATTAAAAAGATCTACTTTTTAAAAGTTCAGCCAATCATAAAAGATACTGCATAATAAAAATAATTATAAAATATTAAAGTAATATATAATTTGCATAAAAACTTGAAAACGACTTATATTTTGAAATAAAAAAGTTTTTCCAAAACACCTTATATTTTGAAACGGAGAGAGTAATATTCAACAGAAATATCAAAATTGATATAAAATTTTACACAAATAGAGTTCTTATGGTCTAATGAATTTATATATGCAAAACACAGATGCATATGTGGGGACATGGATCTGAGTTCAGAAAAGGGGCTGACTCCTTGAAGGGCACAACACAACCTGCAGCCATTCTGCGGCTGCCATGCTATTGCTGTGCGGAGGGATGCAAGAACAACATCAACCATCCGCGGTCCAAGCCCTTGAAGGATTTCCGTACACTTCAGACACATTACAAACGTAAACATGGCTCCAAGCCCTTTTCTTGCGGCAAATGTGGCAAAGCGTTGGCTGTGAAAGGCGACTGGAGGACCCATGAGAAAAACTGCGGAAAGCTTTGGTATTGTACATGTGGATCAGATTTCAAGCACAAGAGGTCTCTCAAGGACCACATCAGGTCCTTTGGCAGTGGACATTCTCCTCTCCCATCTCTTTCGTTTGACAGTTTTGAGGAGGACACAGAATGTGTCACCACAGAGTGAGAGTGATGTTAGATACACCGGGGAGATTGTGGAATCATCGACTGACTGGTAAGATCCGAATTTTCTAATGTTGCTTCAAAACTATGCACCACAAAAACATCTCAAGTCTACCAAAGAATTTCTATCTTGAAAAGGAAGAAATTCTTTGTTAGACTCGATATCAAAATATAGAAATTTACAACATAAGATGAAGCAACATTTTAAAATTTAGATCTTTTTCTTCGGATACGGTTACGATTAAGTCTACATGAAAGCCGGTGTCGTCCTGTCTATGTTACTTTTTATTTTAGTTTGAGACATGGGTTTGAGTATTTGTGTGCTACGTAATATGCATGTGATATTAGGTTCTTGGTTTGGTAGGGGATTTTTGCTACTAAATAAGTATCCATAAGAAAAAAGGAGGTTTAATTATGCTCACTAACAAAAACTTCTCTTTGTCCGAGGGATGTATTTGTCGGGGAGCATTTTGTGGCTCGTGTAAACCCCTAGTTATCTTAGTGATTCGTAGCAAGTATGATTTCAGACCTATATATTTAGGGTTTCCTTCTTAAATAAGGATGGTTTATCTCTTCAAATTTTGTGAAGCACTTGAATTTTCTGTTTCTCGCATGTATTAGAAGAGAAAATTGGTGTGCTTCACTTCATTGTTGTACGATAACCTTCAATTAAAGACTCTTACTATTGTATCTCTTTTCATTACATATCATGTGATTTCGATCTTCTTCTTGTTACAAAGATTCACGCTTTTGTGTTTTGTATGAATCAACTTACTACTCAAACGTATTAAACTTGCGTGTGGGATTAATCTTTCTAGCAACTATTGAACAAACTCCATTTTTTTTTTGTTGAACTTATAAATTTCACGTTACAACAACAAACAAATTTTATAATATAGCTGCAGGGCCAGTAAAACTTGTTGACACGACATCTTAACGATTTTGACTTATATTGATGTGTATAAGAATTTCGTCTACATTTTCCATATACATTTCAATATGTGTGACACCACAAATCTAAAAATTGTGAAGAGCACTCTTACCATTTGGAAAGTGTTGCGTCTCCACTGGCCCAATCTTCAAGCAAAATCGTTGGGACTTAGACAAAACGAATGAGTATAAACTCTTGCCAACAAGCTTCTTCGCTTGAAACAACAACTCAATGACAAAACTCTTGATGGTATGTATTTTCAATGGTAAACTTGTACCAAAGGGATCTTGAATTCTTTTGGCAAGAATGGAATGGCCCTGGGATTGTTTTCCAGGTCGCGATACAATCTATACTCTGCTTCATAGTCATGAAGACTCAGCTCTGCTTTCTGATTAGTATGGTAATGGTGCTTGGTTGAATTCAACTTCCCAAACCCGAAAACACTAACTTTCTCACAGATCCCCACTGCAAGCATCACAGCCTGCATACCCGAGGAGTAGTGAAACAACGAGCCTTCATGATCTTTACTCCAATCGACAAACCCTTCCGCTTTCTTCTCTTCCAAGAACTTCTTCACCGAGTAATACTTCACGATTCTAGCACACAGGACATCGAATCTCGGATCCGTGATAAGCAGAGGAGCTCGATGAGACGGTTTGCACAAGGTGTAATCCAAAACATGAATCGGTTGGCAAATGTACAACACAATAGGCACTGTTTCGCCATAGGGATGACAATGACAACTCTCCCTTCTCCCACACTGATGCAAAATGTTACTATTTATGAAAGATATATTCGTTTTCGATCCGACCTTCTTCTCGAAACTCTCTGTTTTCGCATTGTTCAACCGAATCACAATCTCATGTTTCTCAATGAGATCTCCGTATTGACTATTCAGCAATGTACCGCTATTTCCAACCACTGCACAAGATAAGTATCTTTCACTGGAAATCGAAACAACACCGTTGTGAACATCGATCGGATTCTTGACTAAACCGATCAAATCTAACATGATATTAGGTTCATAAGCTCTTTTACGAGCCCAAAGGCGTAAATTTCTTTTGAACTCTGACCAGTAACGATAAACCTGAGAGTTTACCGGAAACTTGGAGGAAGCAATGTCTCGGCTCCCATGGCGTGGTTGTTCGCTTGGTCTTGACATGGAGCTGAAATGTCGGCGGTGGCTTCTCCGAGTGTGGTCGTAATCGGAAATCAGATCGACTTCCTGCTTGAATTTAGGTTCGCCGGGATCAATGGCGGCGAATTCGAGCAATGTCTCGTTGAATACAATCTCTTCAGTCATGAGTCCGGAGGTACCAAGCTCAGCGATGGCGGAAGCGAAGGAGAAGCTACTCCGGCGAATCGCCACTCTGCAGATGAGTGTGGCGGCGAAGAAGGCGAAGAGTAGAGCACTGAAGAGAGGTCTAACGGATCGTTTCATCGACGCCGCCGTGATAGATAAAGATTAAAGAAAGTCGGAAGCTTAAACCCCCAAAAATTGACGGCGCGGGTCGGATCTTGAAGTCGGATCCATTGCCGGGTCTAACAAAAAAAATGGTAAAAGGAGACAATTTTGAGAAATCTATAATCAAAATCTTCACAGGAGCTTTAGAAAACTCTCATGATTTATAACTAGGAAGGTCAAAAAGGATAAAAGATGTGAAATTGAAGTCAAAAAGAAGGAGACGATATTGACATTGACAGTGACATTGTTGGTTAGGGAAAGAAAGATTTCAAATGAAGTTAAAGGAAGATGAGTGAGAGAGATATGGGAGAGCCCTTAAATAAATGGAGGAGATCTGAAGAAGCACGAAAGATCCAACATTAAAGTAATCATTCATTCTTTACTCTTTTTCTGGAGGTGCAAGCCATGATCTTTCAAGGGTAGTTTTCGTCAACAAACTTGTTATTAATTGCGCCATAGAAAGAAAGATTAAAAGGGAAAGAGTTGATCAAACAAATAAAAAGAGGTTATTTTGGGAAACCATTATGGTTCGGGTCCCTATTATATTCTCTCTAGAGGAGTTGTCAATTAGGTTCTATGTCTGCGTCCTCGGCCTAACCCAATTGGAGTCGTTGACACAAAAATTTAAGCCCATTAAATGAAGCTTTTAAACCCATTTTTGGTCCGGTCGAGTACTCTCCTTGTCATTCATCAAAACGGTTAGCAAATCAGACGCCTTGACGTTTTTATGTTCTACACACAAACACTCTGTTGTTCTTATTTTTTGAACTGTCCTTTTTTTCTTCTGTCACCCTCACCGACCTCAAAACTCTCTGTTTTTCCTTACTTCACCTGTTGTGATCATCCACGCTTCTTCTAGGGTTCCTTCAATCTTCAAATCATCTGATTTTTGAGATAAATTATTCATCTTTAAGAATTGAAGGAATTGGATTTTGTTAACCCTAAAAATATGTACAGCAATTTCAAAGAACAAGCGATCGAGTACGTGAAGCAAGCTGTTCAAGAGGACAATGCTGGTAACTACAACAAAGCTTTCCCTTTGTACATGAACGCTCTTGAATACTTCAAAACCCATCTCAAATATGAGAAGAACCCTAAGATCAGAGATACTATCAGCGACAAATTCAACGAGTATATCCTTCGTGCTGAGGAGATTCGTGCGGTTTTAGATGAAGTTCGATCGGGGACAGGATCTAATGGCGACGCAGCGGTTGCTACGAAGCCCAAAGACGGAGGAGATGGAGCAGAATCAAAGCTTCGAGCTGGGTTAAACTCTGCTATTGTTAGGGAAAAGCCTAACGTTAAGTGCCAAAGAAGCGTTAAAGGAAGCTGTTATTTTGCCTGTCCAGTTTCCACAGTTCTTCATTGGTAAATGTTTCTACTTTCATTGGAAAAAGGGTAATTCTATTGATCAGTATTGGTTGTTGACTTGTTGTAATTAGGGAAGAGGCGGCCATGGCGAGCTTTTCTGCTCTACGGGCCTCCTGGAACTGGTAAATCGTACTTGGCTAAGGCTGTTGCTACTGAAGCAAACTCTACGTTTTTCAGGTAAGTTATGTCTTTTCAACTTTGCCTTGTACTTGTACCTTACCTTTAGGTTTATACTCTGTGATCAATATTCTGGTCACTGTGTTTATAATTGGTAACACGTTTTAGCTTTTGAATAGTTAGTTGTATTCTTTTTTCCTCCAAACCATCAGTGTGTCTTCATCGGACTTGGTCTCGAAGTGGATGGGTGAAAGTGAAAAGCTAGTATCGAACCTTTTTGAGATGGCTCGTGAGAGTGCACCGTCAATCATTTTTGTCGATGAGATAGATTCTTTGTGTGGTCAACGTGGAGAAGGCAATGAGAGTGAAGCTTCAAGACGTATTAAAACAGAGCTTCTTGTGCAGATGCAGGTGAAAAGGTTAATAAAAATTAAGAAACCTTCTGACAATGATTTATCAGCATAAACGCCACTATTCCTTTTTTTTTTTTTTTTTTTTAATATTAGGGTGTTGGACACAATGATGAGAAAGTCCTTGTACTGGCAGCAACAAATACACCGTATGCTCTTGATCAGGTGACACTCATAAGAGTGGATTGGTTTTTAGAATTTCTTGCCAGCTTTAGAATAACAGTTGATACTAAATACCATTTTGATTGCAGGCTATTCGGCGACGTTTTGATAAGCGTATCTATATCCCTCTACCGGATGTGAAGGCTCGGCAGCACATGTTCAAACTATCGAGTTGACTTTGCTAAACATTCCTCAAAGTAAAATCATTCAGGGAGACCCAATCCTTTTTTTTTTCTAATGAATTTTTATTTATGATACAGGTGCATTTGGGAGATACTCCTCATAATTTGAATGAAGCTGATTTTGAATATTTAGCTCGCAGGACAGAGGGATTCTCTGGTTCGGATGTGGCTGTTTGTGTAGGTGGCTTGGCCTGAGCTATTATTTATAGCTATACATATATATATAGACAGTATTTGTTCTGAGTGCTTTCTACTTTGTGGCAGGTCAAGGATGTTCTGTTTGAACCTGTTCGGAAAACGCAAGATGCCATGTTCTTTTTCAGTGCTCCTGATGGTACGTGGATACCATGTGGGCCTAAACAACCTGGTGCCATTCAGATTACAATGCAGGATTTAGCAGAAAAAGGGCTCGCTGAAAAGGTAAGCGTCAAAATTATGAATTTGTTGTCAAACTCATAATTTCTTAGCATGAGAATGCATTTGGTCTTTGAGAAAATTGCAATCCTCGAAGCAGTTTTGGTGATGATGGGCGCCAAAGAGCTTATGTTTCTCTTTTTCATTTGTTTTAATTCGAAACACAAAACAGATTATTCCGCCGCCTATTGCGAGAACGGATTTTGAGAAGGTTCTAGCAAGACAGCGACCGACAGTGAGCAAGACTGATCTTGAGGTCCATGAGAGATTCACAAAGAAGTTTGGAGAGGAAGGTTGATGATGGCATTCAGCTGGAAGGGAAAATCTTGAGTTCCCGGTTATGTATGTACTAAGAGAAGAACAAATCGACTCTTGTTTAATGCATGCACCACGTCATTGAATTTTCGTTTCCAATTGCGTAGATTATCTCTGATTGCCTGATATACACAATTGCGTATATACATATTCATTATTTTTCCTTCTCATCTCTAATTCTTTCCCAAAAATAGTTATCATCCTATTTTCCTTTTTTTCTAAACACACTAGAAATATTGGTACAATGGCAAATGGTGGTCTTTGGTTAGAAAACACATTTTACCCACATCTTCATCATGAAAAAGATGAGTGTTTTGAGTCGATTAGGGTGTAAAAGTAAAACTATGCACAAATCAATTAACTAATAAATGATGTCTTTCTCTATTGTTTTGTTAATAGCTGGGGCCATATAAGATCCATGAGATGTATTCTTCTAACAGTCTAAACTTCTGGCGCTTTGCTATATCCAAGAAGATCTCCATCCTCTTGCTGAACTCTGACCCGCTCTCCTTGCATCTAAAGGAACCAGAACACTCACACTGCTCTGTCAAATGAGCTGCTTTCACCTGATTGCACCTAATGCACACTAGATCCTGCATATGGTACATTCTTTCTCTCTGTCTCACCATCTCGAGAAGGCTACTCTCCATCTGCTCTCTGTCATATATCTTCCCACATTGTGGATCCCCACATGACCATTCTTTCTCTGTTAATAGTGCTGGGTCTCTGCATATATCTAGGTCTCTGTAGGCATCACAGTTGCTGCAACAAGAGAAACAGTACAATCAAAACTCAGTGTATACATTTCCAGCTGTCTTACTGCTTTACTACTGCAAGAAAGTCAAGTATTTATCGCCTAGGATTTGGGGGTCTAAGTTTTCTTTTCTTTTAGTGTTGCAAACAGATCACGGTTTTGCTATAATGACTCACAAGTTTGATATTGCTGTGTAGATTTGATGTGATGATCACCATAAGGGTGAACCAGGATGTCTCTAAAGGAGGGGATTGGCAGGGATTTATGTTTAAGGCCCAAAAGACAACTCGATTTCGGAAAACAATTTCTCTATTAACTAGACGTAGCAAATCACAAGAATGCTTATTTGAATCACGAAAATTGAGCACTTGTTTTGGTCAAATAATACCTGCAAGCTACATTAGGTAAGATGAAGGATGGCCCAGGATCAAGAAATTCGGCTTCAGCAGCACACTCTTTTACTTTAATGTACTTCAACAGACTCTTTCTCATTACCTATAGAAAAGAGATTAAATCAGGAAGATTGTAGGTCTAGAGATCAAAAATTGAGAAGACTATAGTTAGCACCCATCTAAAAATATCCAGCTCTATTGGTAAACATAGTTTCAAGAACCAGATTTCCCGAGATGAGGTTGGATTTGTGAATAAAACCAGTTACAAAGAGGTTTTCTAACTGTAAAGATAAATAACGCTTCAGTGGACTTTTCATATCCAAGATTAATCTATTCAGAGGCTTTGTGAATACGCCATATGTTAAAATGAAAAAGAATGGGTGGAGTATTTACCAGAACATCTTGCAGGACGTTTTGGTCAAGAGCCAGAACAGCAGAGATAACCTGTATAAATTCCAACGTGTAATCTCCTTTGGGAGCTTGACCAGAAACTCGAGATGCATCTGAAACGTTTATCTCCTTCATGTGTGACATGATATCATCAACCTTTTTAACAAGCATATTTATGAAGGTTGATCCAATCTGCATAAAAGAAAACAAAAAAGAAATGAGGAGACAATCTTTTGAGTGAATGAAAGGTAGATCAAGCGAATTGGTTTTAATATGCTACCTGTTCTCTTAGATATTCTACCATCTGTGCCTCTAAACTCTCTGAACTGCCCTTTTTTTTCTCTATTGCAAATTTCCAGGGGTCAAATATAAACTTGGCAACGATTATAATGAAATCCCTCTGCCAAGATAGATGAGATGCGTCAGTGTCCAAGAAAAATGGTCCATGTGTTGCCACATGTTTTTTGTTTTCACTAACATTGGTTTGAGTGAGGGTTGTGTCTGCAAACCTCAATATACTCGGGTAAATGTCGTGCAACACTCCACTTTGGTTCAATAGTCACTTCGTCAAGTGAAATTTCATCATCGGTAGCTCGGATACCAGCGTAGTTATACTAAAATGTTGAAGAAAAGATATACCACAATGAGAAGGAAAAATAAGAAAAGGCAAGATCAAGAAGCCTGATTAAACAAAAACTAGTGATGGAAGATTGGATTTTAGTAGAGTTCCTTGCAACTTGGATATAATTTTTAACCATCAAGGTGAAAGGGTTTTAGTAGAGTTATAAGTTATAATTCCTTGGCCCATTCTGGTTTTACTGGAACAGCATGTAATGAGGTCCCATGGATTGTCACTTTTTCATTTCTCCTCTCGTTGAGGATAAATTTTGTGTTCAGGGATTTGTAATTTTACAATTGACAACAAGTTTTGCCAGGTTTAGCAATCAGAGATTAAAAAATACAAAAGGGAAGTATAAGAAAAAAGAATTCCAACCTGGTCCATGAAAAGTAATGAGTGCCAGTAGTGAACCGGCTCGAGCAATATCCACTCAAAGATATCGCTGTCAGAGGCAAAGCACAAAAATCATGGCAGGAAAATGAGTGCAGTCCATTAGAGACTTAGAGTCATAGACATATATATCGAGTAAGGAAGAAACCAACCTATTCCCCACCGTTGATAGCAAGCTTTCACAATAAGCCTTAGCTGCAGATAGATCAAATTTCACTGTGTCGATAATGACCTTTGAGAAGTCTGCATATATTATTATAGCACCTAATCTCCGCAAATCAGTCAATAGCAGTGCAAACACTTTTTGCATGACCTGCAATATAGATGAAAAATGCAGGAAGTTAAATGGGTTTAGAATTTTTAAGGCAAATAAAAAGTGAATGTAACTGGCAAATCTCAAGATCCGCAAGGAGATATAATCTGTAAGCTACAGATCCCATAAATGAATTGATTGAGAAAGATTCAGACAGAGAAGCAAGGAGGAACTAATATAAAGTTTGCTGATTTATCCACACTAACTCATTTAGACCTGATAAAAAAACAAAGCAAAGAACGTTAAATATGATTTACCTTGTGAAGCATGAGATGAAGAGCTGGATCATGGAGCTTCGAGGAAGGGCTACAATATGAAATTATAGATTGGTATTTTATGAGTCAAGAATAAAATGAATATGTTACAAGATGTGACACAATCATACCTGCAGAGCCACCAAGACAGACGTTGCAAAATGGAATCAGCATATATATTTTCAGATTTACGCACATCAGTCAAGCAACTATGAATCAACTGTTTCAGGACACGAAAAGCTTGAGCACATCCAGTGGTCTCATCAAAACTGGTGTTATCGTTTGAATTAATTCCTCTAGGATTCACATCCTGTTCAAATCCCAAAAAACCGCCTCCTTCCATTTCATTAACCAGGTTGCTTTTCAGAAGGGCATTAACAGCCAAGTTATGGATCTGCACATTGCATGTTAATTAGAACAACATCCAAAAAAAACACGATAATTAAGGAATTTTTTTTTTATGACCTTTAACTCCACAGACACTTTTCTATACGCTCCAGGGAATACTAAACTTGTCTGTTGCACCTGTGTCAAAGAAACATGCCAGTTTATCACCTTGATAGTAGCACCAAAAAAAAAAAAAGACAACAACCACCATGGAGATGGGAGAAGATCATGACAAAGTCCAGAGAAACTAAAAGAAACAAAAAAACCATTTCATGACATACCTCATCAGCAAAGAATGCCTCTTCGTTGTTTATACCTCCAAGGTCTGGAACACCATTATCTGACACCCAGAGGACCTGTTATACAAAAGGAAATTCAGTGATATGGAAAAGCTGCTCTTCTCTTTCTAAATACATAATAGGCACTTCTAAAAGAAAAAAGAAAAAGAAAAAAAAAAGAAATCAAAATCAGTGATATAGAGAGAATAGCCTTTTGCCAATGCTTCAGGAATGTCTTTGAAGATGCACTATTAAAATTGGAACTATTAAAAGAAGGCATATAGCGTAACATTGGAACTATTAAAATTATTCGAAAGTAGACGAAAATTCGAAGAAAGAACCTGTTGCTGGTCACGGAGTGCCCTGGATAGGAAGATATCTATTGTGAATGTTAGCCAATCAAGTCCAAAATTCCCCAGAGGCACCTAGTCAGTTGTACAGGAAATGTCAATAACTGCAAAAAAACAATGATATGAGGAACTATATATTCACTATAGAAACATAACCTACATGGGCGTATCTTGATTGGGCAATCCTCCGATCCAACCACTGAAATGCTGCAGCACAACGGAACATTGCTATTTTTGCTGCTGGACGTTGCCAGGAGACAGGCTATGCATTGCAACCACACCCACACATATTTTATTATTTGATCAAATAAACGTCTAACATGACAGAATAGGAAAAAATGTAGCCAATTAGTTTATTAGTCAAGGAACCTGATAACTATTGTCATCGCCGTTGAAAGGAATCCTCACACATGGGAAATCATCCAGGGCCTTGATACCTTCCTTCATGGAGTTAAAGTCAGGGCATTCGATGACAGCAACAGTTGGTCCACAATTTTCCTCTCTGCAAAAAAAAAGGAAACAATGAAACAAGTCAAACCAGAGCGGGATGATCTGACATGACCTTTCAAAAAAAGTCCAAAATCCACCATGAAGTCCAAATTTTTTTTTTGACAATTAACGTTGAAGAATTTATTCAATTAGGAAGTAACCAACTAGATGAGAAAGGAAAAAATTGAATAGGAAAAAGCATGCGCAACTGATCAGCAATAGAAAGACTATGGGATTCAACATGTCAAGGAAACATTAAACATGCTGCACTACTATAATCATGAAAATGAGTTACCTGTATTCACTTATTGCTATTTGTATGATCTTCTTGGCAGCTTCGGGATGGTCAACATAGCGCACCTGATTATTAGCATTCAAAAAGCTCAAAAAATGCAGGACTGTTATTGTAGGGGCTGTAAGCAATGATTTTAGAGCTTACCTGGAAACGGATACCATCCCAAGACTCAAGTGACAATTCTTGGCAACTATCTCTAAACTGTCTCTCTAGGGCAGATGGTAATAATTCATTGCCGTTAAAAGGATCAAC